CCTTTCCTTGCTTTGTCCCAAGTGAGCAGTCATTGTGTAGATTCACACACATGTAATATTTAATTAGTTTGATAAATGTTTTTAACCCTTTTCCTGCTTTGTCTCAAGTGAGCAGCATTGTGAGATTCACACACATGAATATTTAATTAGTTTGATAAATGTTTTTAACCCTTTCCTGCTTTGTCTCAAGTGAGCAGCATTGTGAGATTCACAAACATGAATATTTAATTAGTTTGATAAATGTTTTTAACCCCTTCCTGCTTTGTCTAAAGTGAGCAGCATTGTGAGATTCACAAACATGAATATTTAAGCCTTTCAATTCATATTCCACATAGCTTCAGTCAATTTGACAAGTGTGGGTGCTGCAATATTTTACAGGATTATATTTGAAATGTAGTTTATAATTCACATTTTTATATTCGTTAAGTTTTTTCAAGTTTCAATTCTCTTGTCACACCACATGCAGGTGCACTTAATTCACAGGCTATAAACAATGGCAAGGTCAAATATATGATTTCAAATTCCTAATTTCTCCATTTTCTGAGATATCAACATATTTTCCAACCTACAACAGAAACCTCACAATCTTTCCTTAACTTTCAAAGCAGTTTTCAGAACCACATTTTCTTATTTTATGTACATTTATAACCAATAGAAATAACTTTTTTTTTGTTTCTGTTTTGTTTTCAACTCTACTTTTGAATTTGACAGCAATAGACATTAATCAAGATGACATACTTGTTGTATGTTGAGTGAAATGGTTGCAGTAATGGAATTTTTTAAGCCTATTTATAGTTTAGATTAGAAGGCCAGTTAAATGAAAGTAATTTTGGGACATTCACTTTTAGTATCTGTTACATTTTTGTGTTCTAAAATGCATATGTCGTGGTTACAATACTATGTTCTGACAAATCTGTGTGGCCAGGTGTATTGTTAAAAATATCGGCAATTTTTAACACAAGTTGTTTTAATTGTTCACAGTCTTTACTCTTTTAAATGTGAACATTGTACTTCTTCAATCAGTGTTTTTTTCAGTATGAAAGTCATGCCTAACAGATATCACATTTAATTCAAGAACATTTGTGAAGAAGTTAAGGGTTGCTTTGTTTGGTTGAATGAAGTCTAATCCAACAAGACAAAGATACAACTAAATATTTGATGACAATAAAACATTGGTCCACAATGCTATTAATTACTAATAGTTTTGATTCAAAATATCCTAATGGTTGATGGTTCATCATTCCATTTGCAAGACACATGTTACCTTTACTCCAATAAAAAGAGCTTTTGTTGTTTCTGTTTTGTTTTCAACTGTACTTTTGAATTTGACAGCAATAGACATTAATCAAGATGACATACTTGTTGTATGTTGAGTGAAGTGGTTGCAGTAATGGAATTTTTTAAGCCTATTTATAGTTTAGATTAGAAGGCCAGTTAAATGAAAGTAACTTTGGGACATTCACTTTTAGTGTCTGTTACATTTTTGTGTTCTAAAATGCATATGTGAAAGGTACCTGAATTTTGTATGGACAACCAGCTGAAGCATTGTAAAATATGCATTCGAGTGTAAAATGTTCACGGTACTTTAGGTTACAAGAAACTGATAATGTTTTTCCACTGTGGTGTATTGTTTTTCACACATGAATAAGCTACGTATGTGGTACAAGCCAACACTAAAACAAACAAACAAACAAAC